ATGTTCCGTTTTCACTTCAGTTACCTACAATGCCACTCTGGACATTTATCTCATAGATAAATGCTGACATTCATGAATTTTTGAAATGTCTTTCTAAAAGTAGAGTTAATGGAGCAGAGGGCACAAAAACCTGGAATCTTGTTAGATAATGTTCAGTTAGTTTCCAATGTTCTCACCAACAGCAAACACATAGAATACATAGTACACACCTGTAATCAAAACAGGGAGATTGAAGAAGGAACACAATTTGAGGACAGGCTGGGTTATAATGCAATATCCTCTCTCAAGAAAACAAATTACAAATATTTTTGAGCTGTGGTATTGCCAGGTTTGGCTTTTCTGTTTGTGGTTTTGATATACAGGGTTTTTCTCAAACTGGAACTGGTAAGGATGTGGCAACATGACATGTGACTTTAACTTGTATGTCTCTAATTACCAATAAGCACCTCTTGTTTATACAGCATTTGAATTTAATTTTAGAGAAATACTTGTTCAAGTTCTTTACCCAGACCTTTGGGTTTCTGTGTGCATTTCATATTGACTAATACAAATAATTTATAACTTTTTGATGTTAGTCCGCTACTGATTTCATCTGTTGCAAATATTTTCCCACACGGTGTAGCATTTTGCCATATATCATTTGTGATGTACATGCCTGGTACCTGTAAAGGTCAGAACTGGAGTTACTATGTTGGTGCTAGGATCCGAACCAGATCCCCTAGTCCAACAAGTGCTTTTAACTGCTGAGACATCTCTCCATCTCCTGAATACAATTTAATTGATTTTATTATAATGGGATAGAGCAATCTTATCTCTTGTGAATAGTAAATTTTTGTATTTTATTTTGGTGTTTCTTCTCATATTCAGAGGTTTAAAAATATTTGCCTATATTAGTTCAAGAACTTGGCTGATATGAAGAGGAGCAAAGATGGTGGCCTGAGGCACCCTCAAGCCAGCTGGTTTCTTGGTCCAGTTGGGCTGACCCCACACGTGAAAGTCTAAGGACAACTTTCAGGAGTTAGTTCTCTTTCCACCATATGGAGCCCAGGTTGTGAATTCAGGAAGTCAGGTTATTGAAAAGCACCTTTGCCTGCTGACTCATCTCCCCCAACTGTGATTACACTTTTTATAAAAGCATAAATAACTTTTGCTACAATAAAAAATAGTACCTATTTTGTAAGTCTTTAATTTGCCTGCAGCTGAATTTTGCATGTTTTGCTCCAAGCCCATCTACTGAAATTCCAGCATTTTTCCTCACTTTGTAATTTCATTTCCATGATGTTTTACCATGATATACAGACATAGATTTCTTTCCTGGCTTTCAGCTCTTTTCCAATTGCCTATTTCTCTTTCTGTCAATGCAACATTTTGCTTTAATTACAGTAGCATGATAGATATTGATAACATGCAGAGGAAATCCTTTCCTTTATTCTCTGGCTGGCTGGCTCTCTGTCTGGGTCCCTTTAATAAAACCGATGAATCCTAGAATCAGCTTATCAAATTTTAGAATATGGTAGAAAACTATCAACTTGCATTAGAGTTACAAATGATTCAGGACAATTTTGGCCTCTTTACAAGTTCAGTGTTCCAATCCACAAACATGTTTTGACTCTACTTATATTTAGGTTGATTTTTAAAATTATCTTAATGAAATGTATTCCCTATAAACTTTGTTGTTTGAGATAATATCCTGGAAGGTGAGCCACCTTAGTCTGGAAATCTACCCTCTTACCTACTTCACCCCCCAGAATGCTGAGATCCCAGGTGTTAGCCAGTCGCCATTCCCAGTTGCATTATGGGTGTGTTTCAACAGCCATCTCTGATTCAACAGATACCAACCAGTTACGTAAAGACCTAATTCAGTTTGGAATGAGGATAACTAAGCAGGTCGTAAGCAGTGCCTCTAAGTTTCATTTTGGTCCTTGCTGCAACTGTCTGCAGCCTTACACTTAAGTAAGACTGCCACTTACTGGCAGCAGCATCTCATTACAGTATGAAGCCAGTCCTTTTCTGATGGAAAGGTCAACAGAAGACAAATACAGACAGAGCACATTTGCATGCAAGTACACTCTTCCCCATAAACATATCCAAGAATCTGCAAATAAAAAAATATAAACAGAAGCTGAGTGCGGTGACACTTGCCTGGTGACACTGAGGAGGCTGAAGCAGCAGGACCGCCGAAAATCTAGTCTACATAGTGTGTTCCAGGACTGCCAGGGCTACATAGGAAGACCTTGTCTCAAAATAACAAAAAATAAACAAAGTAAACTTTTAAAAAGAGTGGTGGGAAAAAAAACAAAACAAAAAAGAGTGGTGGGAAGGATATTAGCTGATGTCCATAGCTTGCTAAGTACTACTGAATAATACACTGTAGCTATAAAGATTATTTCGTCTTTTCTTTATGGTTTTTCAAAGCAGGATTTCTCCATGTAGCCGTGGCTGTCCTGGAACTTGCTCTATAGATCAGGCTGGCCTTGAACTCAGAGATCTGCTTACCTATGTCTTCCCTCTGAGTGCTGGAATTAAAGGCATCTACCACCACCACCTGACTTGTTTTTCTTTTCAACATTCTTATTTCTGTAGTATATTTATTACTATTATCAGTGTGTGTGGTGTATGTAGAAGTCAAAGGTCAACTTTCAGAGTCCATTCTCTCCCTCTACCACGAATTCTGAGCAAGCACCTTTACCAATTGAGGCATCTTGCTGGCCCTACATTTGTATCTCTGTGATAACACTTTGGAATTTAAAATAAACCAAGTGGCTCATCAGCCAAATTCAATCTACTGTCTGATTTTAAATTCCCACAGGGAGGTATTTACAAGCATGGATTTTAGGATTAAAAAACTGGAATAGTGAAATTTACGTATATGATTTAACAGTATGACAGATTAGAGGACTGAGAATGATGTTCAGTGCTTTGGCTGTCAAACAGAATGCCTACTTCCTTTTTTGTTTTGTTTTTCAAGACAAGGTTTCTCTGTTTAACAGCCCTGGCTACCCTGGTACTTGCTTTGTAGACCAGGCTGGCCTTGATTTTACACAGATCCACCTGCCTCTGCCTCTCTAGTGCTGGGATTAAAGGTGTGCATGTGGTAGTTTCAATGTAACTGGCCCCCATAATCGCATAGGGAGTAGCACTATTAGGAGGTACCACCTTGCTGGAGGAAGTGTGTCACTGTGGGGGCAGGCTTTGAAGTTTCCTATACTCAGGACACAGCCCCGTGTCTCAGACCACTTCCTTTTGCTGGCAAGATGTAGGACTCCGCTACTTCTCTAACACCGTGCCTGCCTGCACACCACCATATTCCACCTCGACAATGGACTGAACCTCTGAATTGTAAGCCACCCCAATTAAATGTTTTCATTTATAAGAGTTACCTGGTCATGGTGTTTCTTCATAGCAATAGAAACCCCAACTAAGACAGTGCACCACCACCACTTAGCATGGAATACCTATTTTCTAACCTAATTCTGTCACTTATTGGTTGCATTATCTTGGTTGCATCAAGCTCTCTGAACCTGTACTTCCTCATCTATGAATGAAAATAAGTTTGATTTGTGAATAACTTTGTATGTGATCAGAACAGTGCTACCAACACATTATAGGTGTTTGCAAAGGAGATAATGTGGGCAAGGTGTTCTGAGTAGGCTATGTTGGAAACAATATGCTGGAAGCAAGACTCTTCTGAGGGCGCTGTAATGGCTAAGATACAATCTTACCAAACACATACCAGAAAAGAAATGTTGAGACTGAGGATCAGCTGCTCAATAGCAGTATCTACATAGGGAAAGCCTATATCCATTTGTGAAGGCAAAGAATGTACATTTCTCATAGAACTGGACCATAACCATTTAAAATCGAGGTCTGAAAGCTCCAGGGCTAATACGACCTTGACAGATTAAATTCTTTTGCTCAAACAGAGGCTAAGAAGTTTTATGCGGTTTCCTGAGAAACCAAGTGTATTACATCTATGGGTGGGTTTTAACTTTGAGGTTACATCAGAATCACATGAAAGGCTTGTTTATGCTGTTTTGAATTTTTGGTTCAGGTGTGGCATGGAAACTTTAATTTCTAATAGGTCCCCAAGAGAAGTTATGTTACAGCTCCAGGTGTATTTTGAAAATCATTAGTCTACATTAAGACAATGACAGACAGGCAGCCTTTGATAACCAAGCTACCCTCTTAAGACCTTGGTTCAAGAGGGATGAGTTAGAAGAAAGTAAAAAAAAAGTTAAAAAAAATTCAGTTCTCCAAAGAATTCTTTTGTTCACATAAAATAAATTAGCTAAGAAATGGAGCTGATGAAATACCTACCTGTCACTGTCATTCAAAGCAAGGACTCAAACTTTTGCCATCTTAATATAGTCACATGGCCTCACATGGATGTATGGCTGTGTGGGGAAATGTGGTACATGGCTGACCAGCCAAATCTCAGCAGCATATCTCACAAGAAAATAAGAATATTTGGTAAACATTTAGCAGTTTCTGTTACTAAACGTTTTTTCATTGCAAACTTCCAGATTTAACACCAGACGTCGGCTTTAAAGGAATAATGCAGAGGCTAGAGAGATGACTCAGTGGCTCACATTCTGCTCTTTGTATAGTACCAGTTTGGTTCTCAGCATCCACAGAAATGGCTTTCAACCACCTTCACTCCAAAAAAAGCCAACACCCTTTTAGCCTCTGCAGGAAATGCACTCACACTCACATAGACAGCTAACACAGGAAATATAGTTAGCACATAAGATATTTTAATGTCTAAAATGAACATAAACTTAGTGACCGAAGACTGATTACCTGACTGGGGGGAAGGGGAAGCCCCTAGCAGATATTTTATGGAAGATAAGGAAGAAGCGGCTGTGATACTGAGTTTGTAGAACAGTCATCAGGAAAATAGTTCCTGTATTGTTTTGGAATAAATCTAAACATTTTGTAATTTCACATGTACAGTTTGATGCCCTTTATTAGTCTTAAAGGAAATAACTCCCCCGTAAGAATGACAGTTCAATATTTCTTAAAATTTTTATTCCACTTCCAAAAATAGGACTATCCCATTCAATAGCAAACATTCTGCTTTTTTATGATCATTACTCAAATATACTTCCTTGCCTATCCTTACTGTTAAATTATCACCTACAGCATTTCAATTGAGAAAAGTCCCTTTATATTTTTAGTTATACCTCTTAAGACTGTCCAAGAGAAAATAAACTAATATATGATGCTATTCACTAAAAGAAAAAATACTCATGGTCTTTCATTCATTTCATCAACTAGGACACATAAGGCAGCATCTTTCTCTATAATCTGGTCCCTCCTGTGACCTGAATTTTCTCTTTGTTGTTCATTTTGTCCAGTACAATTGCTGTTATCATCAGTATCCATTGGCTCAGTTTTAACTCTCATCCCTGCTTCTGAATGGGGTAAATCATCTGGCAAAGAAGCAAGGCAATTTTGGATCATTTCAATTACTCGTTCCAGGTGTTTCTGAAACCTCTCAGCTGTTTCAAGACGTTGCCGTTTCTGGACCTCCATCATTACTCTCAAGGTCTCTCTTGCTTGGTGGGGTCGATACTCATTTATAAGATGATGCACATGTACGAAAAGCAGCTTAAGATCTTCTAGCTTCTCTTCTCGTTTTATACTCCCAGGGCTCCTTATTAAGATATCTAAAAGGTCCAAGAAATTAATCAGTATAGACATATTGAGTTTTCTCAGTTCTTTCTTGTGATCAAATTGCATAGGATGAAGCCGTTCAATGCCCTGACTTTCCAAAGGGCGAATGATAAGATCATCACATTGGAACTGGTTGCCGAACATCATGTAACTGTCTTTAATTGGAGGGGGAGGCTTGGGAGCTAAGCCTTCCTGAATATTTTCATCTGTATATTCCTTGATGTACTGCATTGGAGGTGGTGGGAGTGCACTCACTTGCTGTGGTTCACCCATTGTCGACAATCAAGAACCTAAAGAAACAGAACACAGATTCAGAGCAGAACCAGACAACACTACCCCCAACCACCATCAGTGACTTCAGAGTATGTTTTTCCTTCTTCTGACAGGACAGGGTCCAAGACAAGATGATCTCAGATTTAAAACTAACATTTACAAAAAGGGAATGGCCATCAATTATTTTCTAATTAAAGATTATGTTGTTAACACCCCTATTGTTTTCCTTTATCTCCTTGGTGCTTTCCAGAGCAGTTAAATAAACAAGTTACTCTTTTTCATATATAAATAAAATCTCAGTGCTTTGGAAGCTAGGGCAGCCACACATCAGCTGGGTGTCTGCTGAGGCAAAAGAAAGATAACAGCCTACGGATGGATGTGCAGGGTGTCTTGTTTTTGCTTTGTGCCTAGGATCTTCTGTTGCCACCCCCTCCCTGCCCATCTGGGGGAAGAGGGTCTGTGCAGCAGACATCTAGAAAGGCACACCATTCCAGCAGAAGGCAGGTACCCATAATTACAGTAATGGCATTGAAAAAAATAAAAACAAACAAAAAACCTTTCTGAGCACAAAAGACACTAGCACTTGTTAATTTCTCAAAGATAAACCCATACAAAGCATCCTGAAAATAAAGGGGTGTGGTGGGAGGAAGAGGCTCTTATGACATCTGTCACTGTATCATGAAGCTTCACTGCTGAGGAAAAAAATTACCAACCAATGACCAGGGCAGCCTGGACAACATCAACTTCAATGTTCAGAAGTACACTGTGAATTCAGACCATATTATCTTTAAGCTTCCTGCTGGTAAGTATGCCTTGAAAATTGAGAACTTGTTGGCCAGTCAAGACACAAGGTGTGCTAATTTCACCCTAAAGGAACAGGTGACCCTGGCAAAGGAAAAGAAAAATAAAGCAAAGCTATGGCTTCGTGCAATGAAGATAACTGTGATGAGAGCCATGAAACAATCTCTAGCATCTAAATATACACCCAAGTCGAGGTATGCAGACTCTATGAAGGAAATTCTGAGAACATGAAGCAGTGTCACTTGGAAATCTTACAATTATTTGAATCCCTTAAAGTCCCTGTCACCTGCTAAAGGACACTTTTGTCTGCCAGACTTCATGTGACTATGAAGTAAGGACACCTGTTCTGCTTGGTGAGGAAAGAGGGACGCTAGGACTCATGTGTTCTATGTAAGCTGACAAATGGAAGCATAGGAAGTGGGAAGCAGCCAGTCAAGTCCACTAAAGGTTTGGCAGATAACTTTACTTACTGTTCTTTTTAAACATTTTTTTTTGTTGTTATTTTGAAAAAGGACCTCAACTGTCATAGATGTGGTGGTTCACACTATAGAAGCCAAGACAGCTATGAGTTCAAGGCCAGTTTGGGCTACACATTGATTTTTGAGTCAGCCTGTGCTAAAAATACCTTTAAAAACTATTTTTAAAGTATATGAAGTTGGGAGTGAGATATGGTGATGGTCTGCATGGTATTAGAGGGGAAGGAGAGGGCATGATCAAAACACATTGTGTATAAAATTCTCAAAGAACAAAATACATATTCTAAAAACTAAGAGAAAAGGGTCCATGTCTGGGATGATTTTGTATGGCACATGATATATTATTTGTCATGTCTGATTTTTGTTTTTGTTTTTTTGTTTTTTGGGTTTTTTTTGGGGGGGTGGATAGGCCTATGTTGGAACCCACACTGGAAAAAAGAACACTTATACACACAAATATCACGTGCCTTTTTACTACTCTTTCCCACAGTGAAACTACCTATGGTGTTTATCAATCTCATATCACAATCACTTTTGCTTTCTATTATGTACTGGTTTCCAAAACCAAACACTTAAAGACTCTAAACATTTTGACAAAAACAACAAAAAAAGCATTGTTAAATTTCAAACTTCTATTATTATCCAGGCTTTGTGAAGGAAGCCCCATCTTGAGAGGGCCGGGCGTTGGTGGCAGACGCCTTTAATCCCAGCACTCGGGAGGCAAAGGCAGGCGGATCTCTGTGAGTTCAAGGCCAGCCTGGTCTCCAGAGCGAGTGCCAGGATAGGCTCCAAAGCTACACAGAGAAACCCTGTCCCGAAAAACCAAAGAGTACGGTCTTATTAACACATTAGCATTTTATATATTTCCAAATAATAAAAAAAACTGCAACACACATGGTCAAAATAACCTCTCCTATTCATTTTT